GTCACCTGATGATGACGAAACGTTTCTCCCACTGCAAACGTCCAGATGAACAGAATCAACTTTTGGAGAAAGTTAAACTTTTGTAAATGTAACATCCATCATTTTTTTCAGTATAGGCCAGCTGCCTGTTAGAACAGAGAGCGCACAATTACACAATCAGTCCCCTCTGATAGCCTCCTGGCACCGCTGCAACACAACTGAGCCATAATCCATCTACTGAGGCTGAAGCTTTGTCATAAATAGTCAGATTTGAGTTCAAATTGTTTCAATGTTCAGTAAAGGTCAGGAGGGAGGTGCAACGTGTGCGTGTGCAGACATCTGTAAAACAAGGTGGAGGCTGTCTCGTGATTTGGGGCTGCATCTCAGCCAGTGGTGTTGAGAGTCTCGTCAAAATGGATAAAATTGTGAATGCAGAAAAATGCATGAATATTTTGATGTATCATGGAAGATTGTCTGTGCCTTTGTGTAATGGATGATGCTAACGCACACACTGTGCAGCTCTTAGGATGGTTTTCCATGAAATCGACTTTCCTGGTAATATGTGTTTGAGTTGTTCTTTTTAGTTGTATTGTTGGGAGATAAAACCTGCACTGAAGACTGGAGATAAAACAATGATTTAAAAAATCATTGCTGGCTCTAGTGGCACGAGCTTCAAGTGTGCTTTCATCCTTTTTGTGTTTGCTGATATGCACTTTACTGTGTTTCCCTGCAGGACATCTTACCTCAGACACACCTCCTCCATCGTACATTACTGCCACCCACTCTGAGACTCCCTCAGACACAGCCAAAGCACGAGACCAGGTAAATCCTCCTTCGAAAGATGAAAGCCGATGCACTGAAAGGACTCACAGCTGATTGCCTCGGACACACAAATGCACACACTTTCCCCCTGATCTAAATATAATAAGTTTTGTGCATTTGAAGAAACCGTTCTGTAAAGTTGAACTCAACAGCGTAATGTTGATTTGTTCCAGTTAAGTCACTGTGACACTGGAGGACAGCAGACGTGTTTGATTTTGGAGTAAATATTCTCATGACTCATGTCCTGACACGTGAAACTTGGTGCTGCTGGTTAAACAGCGTTGTGAAGGTTTCACTTTGAGCTCTAATATGAATTTTTTGCTAAATTATTCAGGTGAGTAGAGAGAAGTCAAAATATTAAAACCTAGTAAGATTCCTGAAAATCAAATGATCTTCAGTCGTTAGTCGTTGTTGAGATTTCTCGACACAGCGCATGCATGCAGTGCTGCAGAGGTTTGTGACACTGGTATGTTGTATGTTCTAAAACAAAACTCAAATCTAAACTAATCACTTATTTGTTTGAGTTTCTTTTCAAACTTATTTAACATACCAGTCAGCAGTGAAGCAGTTTTCACAAACATGAAAGTCTCTTAGCTAACAATTTAATTCCCCGTACAGCATTTAGAAACGTCATCAGTTGGCTGACAGTGAACAGCAAATGACGTCTGCACAGTAACACAACCAGTTACAGTAGTGTGTAGCTGCAGCCTTTCCATGGAGCTCATCGTGTGTCTGCAGTAGCCGAGGAAGGACAAACCCAACACTGGGTACATACTGGGCCTCGTGTCTCTTATGATTGAAATGACGACTGCAGGTGATATAATGACATAATGAATGAATGAGAGCTATTCAGCAACCACACCGCTACACAGGCAGCTTTAGTTCACAAACCTTAACAAAAAATAGACAAAAAACCTGTTTTCCGATGTGTCTGTGAAGGTTCTCAGTCATCCAGGTCATCGTAGTCAAAGGAGCTTGCAAAGAAAAGCGTCTGGACTTCTTTAAGTTGCT